AAACAGAACACAAAAACTATGTTCTAAAGCTGCTTAAAAGTCAGCATTTTCAGTGTATCTTTTGAAATATTTAAACTAATCCCGAGGATAAGGATGAATGATCCAAGCAACGAGGACAAATCCATTAGCAGATCTTTCAATAAACTAAGACATTCGCACTAAACTCATCAAAGTGGCCATTCATTTAAACATCAGTTGGAAGATAGATAGCAAGTTTGATCAAAATATTGTAAATAAGCTAAGAAGAACACATATATTTGGTACTCATTTTTCACCTAATCTTATAAATCTCTTTACCCTCTTCTTTCCTTAGCCTTTTCAACAACTTAATAGAGTGATGAAGGAGCTCAAATTCTCCTTCCACAACGTTTCATATTCATATACATATAATATATGATACAAACATACATACATAAGTAAAAACCAATCAACAATCAACAATCAGCAATCAGCACAGCCTCTGAATTGTGGCCTTGGTGTGTGACGATTGTTGGCTCCAGATCCTGGATAGTCATTGAGTTCCACAGACATTCTTCCATGGCTCTGTTCTTTCTTTGTTGCACTCACCTGCATAACACAGAAATCCCATAACACAAATGAACAATGTTCTTAAGTTAAGTTGAAAGATAAGATTTTGATGGGACATAGAGATTTGGGTTAAGATTTTGAAGGGACATAGAGATTTGGGTTGATGGGTAATGTAAAATACCATGTGGGTATCGCTTGAAACGTGAAGAAATTGATCAGATCCATGCAGGAGGCTGACACTTCCTACAGAAACAGATCAGAAGCAATTAGTTGATGATAATAAGAAAGAAAGAAGACAATAGTGAGATGATTTGTGAGGCTTACTTGAAGTTGGGACAGCATTAGAACAGAGAAGGTTAGAAACTCCCAAGAACACAACAAGTAAACAGAGGAAATTAGTGGTAGCCATTGGAGAAGCAGCTGCTCTCTGCTCTCTGCTCTCAAAGGCGATGGCTTGATGGATGGTTTAGGAAGAGGGGACTCAATTTATACTTGGGTACACGTTATGAGTACTCCAAATGAGGTGGTGGGGTGTAATGTGTTATGAGATTGCTACACGAAGAAGTCAAAAAAGAAAGTGATATGAAGAAGAACAGATTGTGTTTGGAGAATGAAAGATGAAATGTTGGGAAGTGGAGGGAAAGGGGAAATTATGATGATTTTAAAAGTCAATAGGGTGAGAAATGTTGGAAGACAGTGTGGGAAAGTGGAGAATGACAGAAGAATGTGTGAGGAGAGGAAAGTGATGGTGTTGCACTAATTTATAAGGTCAATGGGTTAGTGGGGATATAATTATAATCATTTGGGTGTGAGCTGGGAATGTTTCAACCAATGTTTGTGTCTTTTATTGTATGGGGAGGGGTTTGGGAAGCTACAATATCTCACAAGTTTCACTAAATGCCACATGAACAGGCTAGTGGGTTTTGACCCAAATTTGCACCAAACTATGTGGTACTAGCTCTCCCATTAGCTCTCCGGGTATTCATGCATGTGAACGTCTGTGTAACAGTTCAACCCCACTGCTGTTTCAGCCCGTTACTGCTGTTTCGGCCCGTTACGTATTGCTGTAAGTCTCACAGTTTTCTACACTCTTATAAGAAATTATTTGTTTTCCTCTCCAAACAATGTGAGACTTGTTAAGGGAGAATTGAAAAAGGAAAAAATATATTTAAATTGGCCCAAATTCGAAATGATCAAGTGAAGTCGTGAATAGCAATAATCTTAAACTTCTTATTTGTAGAATGTTATTAATTATTACTTTGTTCTTATTACTCAAAATCTATATGTGTGTTAGGGCTATGTGTCGTCTATTCATAGTTTGAAGGCAAGCTTTACTGCTTGTACACGTGGATTGCATCAATGAGTTATTACGATAATAAATGAAGTTTTTGAAAAAGGGGAGGAAGATCTCGTAAGAATAAGAGACATAGGGCTAAAGAGATAGCATCAACCTTATTGAGCTCGTGTTTCCACTCGCTCTATCAGAAAAATTAACTGAATTTATCCTATTTGATTAATGAGTCAAATATGCTCGTTTTACCGATGTATAGATTTTATCTTGACTACTGTCAAAAGCCAGCTAAAAAGTTAAAAACAAAAACAAAACATGTGGATGCATTAGTCAATATTGTACTAAATAGTTTGTGTTTCACTTATTATTATTATTTAAAAAAAAAAAAAAAAAAATTGTTTCGCATTTTTTAAAGAAAGTGTAATGCGATTTCCCCGTGTTTTCCGCCTCCCCGACTAAATTTAAAAATAGAAAAGAAAATTAATAAAGTGAGAATTGACTTTGGAGAGTCATAATTTAATTAAATTACTAAAGTAAATTCTTCTTTTTTTCTGTTGACTTTATATTGTATTATATTATATCATATTTTATGGTAAATTTAGGTGCTTCTTTCTTAGAATCAGACGACATAATTCACTAAAAACCTACCTTACTTTATAATATATAAATTATGTACACTTGCTTATATTATATTATATTATTATATATATATATATAAAGTGGTTTATTTTAATTCTAAAACATAGGATTTTACTGTAATTTCAATAAAAAAGATTAAATAAATACAACATAAAAAGTAAATTAGTGCATTTAAAATAATATAAAATATTAAAAGAGTACGTTGGCTTAAGTTAGATTGTATTCTAAAGTTCTTAAATTTGCTGTTGGGGATTGAATAACTTGAATAAAGTTCAGAGCTGAATTTCAGAGCCTAATCCAGCTGTCAATATTTTTGGTTGAGTTGAGTTAGATTTTTTTTTTAATTCTTTAAAAAAAATCTTACTCGCATCACTAATTTGGTTACCGACCTCAAATCTTTTTAATTTTAAAAGTAGTGTATGGTAGAATTGGGTTGGGCTATAACTATATTTTTTGGTTATCGGATTGACCCAACCAAAAAATGATAATCTACAAACCGATTTGAATTTTAAATTTTTTTAAAAAAAAAAACAGTCCAAGTGGTTTAATGGTCAAGTAGTTCATTAATAATAATAATAAAAGAAATAGTAAGCAATTTAGTTGAAGGATTATCAAACCAATGGACTCGATAATTGGGCTTTATGGATCAGATCTTTCTCAACAGTCCGAAGCCCATTATATATCAAATTTAGGCCCAAATTCAGGCCCACGTGGATCAACAAGTTTGCTTTACAATGATTTCTTATTAAAATGCCAATTAACCTTGCATACAAAGTAATTAACAATTAAATAACAATTAAATTGAATTTAAAATTAATATAGGTAAAATAAGAAGAAAAAAAATAACCGTTGACCCATATTTTTTTGTCAAAACAAAAATAATTTAAAATTGAGGAGTCAAAATTTGGCATCACAAAATTCTTCTTTTTCTTAAAAGAAGGAATTTATTTGGAAAAATTCATTCACTATTTTAATATTCCCTTTTCTTCCAATTAAAGTTTTTTTGTTTTATTTATTTATTTTGGTTAAAAAAAAGAATATTTGGATATTGATAAAAAAAAAAATTACTTTATTGAAACGCATGCATTCAAACATCTCAGTCAAAGTCATATGTTGACTTCAAAAACCTTATCTATGTATATGTTGACTTTTAGAGTAAGGAATTTTAAGAAAAAACAATTACTGTTTTAATGTATTTACTCAAACTCTAAACTCCAAATATGTGTAATAAACATTTCATCATCCTAAAAAGCTTATTATTATTATTAAACGCTATAACTTTATATAAATATTATAACTTTAACTTTAAAGTTTAAGAAATATGCTACGTACATCTTCTTGATTTAGCCTTTCAGTCGAATTGACTTTATGATTTCGCTAAAGTGTAGTTTAGTCGGCCTTTTTGGGCAACCCGTACACTTCATCTCTAAAACTCTTATTAGTACGCTAAGAAACATTTCTTTAGTCGGGTTTTTTTTTTTTTTTTTTTTTTTTTTTTTTTTTTTTTTTTTTTTTTTTTTTTTTTTTTTTTTTTT